TAGCAGGACTCATGTAATTACTAAATTGATACGGGGAACTGACCATTTTTCCAGCATCTTCATCGATTCCAACACAACACAAACTGGATTCTATCTATATCTCTGAAATGAGGTGTTATGATTATTTACATTATTTACATTATTCGGACTGTTATCCTCATCTTCATTGCCATATTCACAACGTTTCGGCCGTTGTACGCTCCTGCCTTCTTCAGGCAACAATCTACCAGAGTGGGCTAAATAAAGGTTTAGATTCGATATTCCAGTCTCCTGAAGAAAGCCGTAGTGTACAACAGCCGAAACGTTGTGAATATGTCAATGAAGATGAGGATAACAGTCCGTATAATGTAAATAATTTAAACAAACGGGATTGTCTTAAAAATTGTTTTGAAAAGAGTATTTCAGTTTTCGGGAAATTTTTTCATGCGTTAAATTCTTTAAACATTTTTTTTATTTTTGAGGCGATCGTTTTCTCGGTTTAATTTTTCTAGAAATGTAAAAATAGGAACTAGAAATTTTATGTCAATTACTAGCCGTGGACTTCTGGTTAGTATTATTATTAGTATTAGTAAAAAAAATCAAAGTTCCTCCTTAGTGGATGATCATGGAATAAAAAATGATTTTACCGAGATATATTACCCTCTTAATTGATTTAAAAGACCTGTTCAGTAAGACAATTGCAATTTTAAAAAATAAGTACTTCTGAAATTAGCATTTCTGCCCTCCCGCTCCCCATTAAGCATTGGGCCCCACGTGGCTGAGAGGTTCAGGGGTAATAAGCAAATGCCATGTCGATTATTATCGTTGATTATTGACAATATAACTTAGGGAGAAAAAAGGTGAAAGTACAAAAAGCAAAAAAAAAAAACGCTTCTAAAAGTAACACTTTTGAGTTACCAACATCATCGAGGTCCCTGAGTCGTACTCACTGGTACCTCTCATGCAGATTACACAATGTATATTATTAGTTGATGACTCACAATGTAACATCAGTAAATGGTGTATGGCCATAAAACAGTGCTGAAAAAATGGCAGATGCCACAACGGGATCCAAATATTCCACCCCCCCCCCGTCGGGGGTAAGACGCGCCGACTCTCTGTACGAGGTCTGGGTTGAGTTTAAGTCTCAATAGTCATGGTCCAGTCATATGAGAAGCTTGGAATTTCTAATAAAAGCGGAAACAAAAATAAGACCTCATTATGCTCACGTGACCGAGTGGTTAGAACGTTCGCTTTCTGATCATGAGCTCCGGGTTCAAATCCCCATCTCCCAGCGTGCTGCACCTTTGGAAATTGCCTGTAACACCAGACCTCATTAGTTTAAAGCCATGCTCACGTGACCGAGTGGTTAGAACGTTCGCTTTCGATCATGAGCTCCGGGTTCAGATCTCCCCATGGTCGATTTGTCAGGGAAGGTTATCAAATCCTAGCGTGCTGCACCTTTGGAAATTGCCTGAAAACCATACCATAAGACCTCATTAGTTTAAAGTATGCTCACGTGACCGAGTGGTTAGAACGTTCGCTTTCTGATCATGAGCTCCGGGTTCCTCCCCATGGTCGGTTTGTCAGAAAGGTTATCGGGGCGATCCTAGCGTGCTGCAACTTTGGAAATTGCCTGGAAACCATCCATGGTCGTGACCGGTCCTTTCTGATCATGAGCTCCCGGGTTCTGAATCTCCCCCATGGTCGATTTGTCAGGAAGGGTTATCGGGGCGATCCTAGCGTGCTGCACCTTTGAAATTGCCTGGAAACCATACCATAAGACCTCATTAGTTTAAAGTATGCTCACGTGAACGCTTTCTGATCACGAGCTCCGGGTTCGAATCTCCCCATGGTCGAAAGGTTATCGGGGCGATCCTCGCGTGCTGCACCTTTGGAAATTGCCTGGAAACCATACCATAAGACCTCATTAGTTTAAAGTTTGGTTAGAACGTTCGCTTTCTCATCGCAGGCTCACGAATCTCCCGGTCGATTTGTCAGGAAGGTTATCGAATCGTTCGCACCTTTCTGATCCATACCATAAGAACTCATTAGTTCAAAGTATGCTCCGTGACCGAGTGGTTAAACGTTCGCTTTCTGATCCCCATGGTGGTCGATTTGTCAGGAAGGTTATCGGGGGCGATCCTGGCGTGCTGCACCTTTGCAATTGCCATACCATAAGATCTCATTAGTTCAAAGTCTCACGTGACCATAAGAACCTCATTTCTGATCATGAGTTTAAAGGAAGGTTATGCGATCACGCACCTGACCATAAGACCTCATTAGTTTAACGTGAGGTTTAGAACGTTCGCTTTCTGATCATGAGCTCCGGGTTCGAATTTCCCCATGGTCGATTTGTCAGGAAGGTTATCCCCATCCTGGTGCTGCACCTTTGGAAATTGCCTCATACCATAAGATCTCATTAGTTCAAAGTTGCTCACGTGACCGAGGGGTTAGAACGTTCGCTTTCTGATCATGAGCTGGTTCAATTTCCCCGCATGGTCGATTTGTCAGGAAGGTTATCGGGGCGATCCTAGCGTGCTGTACCTTTGGAAATCCTGGAAACCATACCATAAGACCTCATTAGTTTAAAGTATGCACACGTGACCGAGTGGTTAGAACGTTCGCTTTCTGATCATGAGCCCGAGTTCGAATCTCCCATGGTCGATTTGTCAGGAAGAACGTCCTGCTTTCTGATCTTTGGAAATGAAACCATACCATAAGGGTTTAAAATGCTCACGTGACCGAGTGGTCGAACGTTTGTCAGGAAGGTTATCTCCCCATGGTCGATTTGTCGATCCTCAGGGGCGATCCAGCTGCACCTTTGGAAATTGCCTGGAAACCATACCATAAGACCTCATTAGTTTAAAGTATGCTCACGTGACCGAGTGGTTAGAACGTTCGCTTTCTGATCATGAGCTCCGGGTTCGAATCTCCCATGGTCGATTTGTCAGAAAGGTTATCGGGGGCGATCCTAGCGTGCTGCACCTTTGGAAATTGCCTGGAAACCATACCATAAGACCTCATTAGTTTAAAGTATGCTCACGTGACCGAGTGGTTAGAACGTTCGCTTTCTGATCATGAGCTCCGGGTTCGAATCTCCCCATGGTCGATTTGTCAGGAAGGTTATCGGGGGCGATCCTAGCGTGCTGCACCTTTGGAAATTGCCTGGAAACCATACCATAAGACCTCATTAGTTTAAAGTATGCTCACGTGACCGAGTGGTTAGAACGTTCGCTTTCTGATCATGAGCTCCGGGTTCGAATTTCCCCATGGTCGATTTGTCAGGAAGGTTATCGGGGCGATCCTAGCGTGCTGCACCTTTGAAATTGCCTGAAACCATACCATAAGATCTCATTAGTTTAAAGTATGCTCACGTGACCGAGTGGTTAGAACGTTCGCTTTCTGATCATGAGCTCCGGGTTTGAATTTCCCCATGGCCGATTTGTCAGGAAGGTTATCGGGGGGCGATCCTAGCGTGCTGCACCTTTGAAATTGCCTGGAAACCATACCATAAGACCTCATTAGTTTAAAGTATGCTCACGTGACCGAGTGGTTAGAACGTTCGCTTTCTGATCATGAGCTCGGGTTCGAATTTCCCCATGGTCGATTTGTCAGGAAGGTTATCGGGGGCGATCCTGAAACCATACCATGCACCTTTGGAATTGCCGATTTGTCAGGAAGGTTATCGAAACCATACCATAAGATTTCATTAGTTTAAAGTTCGCTCACGTGACCGGTCGGTTAGGAAGGTTATCGTCCTACGTTCGCTTTCTGATCATGAGCTCCGTGGGGCGATCCTGGCGTGCTGTACTTTGAATCTCCCCATGGTCGTTTATTTGTCAGGGGTTATTCGGGGCGATTTGTCAGGAAGGTTATCTCTAGCGTGCTGCACCTTTGGAAATTGCCTGGAAACCATACCATAAATTAGTTTAAAGTATGCTCACATGACCAAGTGGTTGGAACGTTCCTTTCTGATCACCTCATTTGTCAGGAAGGTTATCGGGGCGATCCTAGTTTATACATATGCTCACGTGACCGAGTGGTTAGAACGTTCGCTTTCTGATCATGAGCTCCGTGTTCGAATCTCCCCATGGTCGATTTGTCAGAAAGGTTATCGGGGGCGATCCTAGCGTGCTGCACCTTTGGAAATTGCATGAAAACCACACCACATCGTGTTTTCATACATCATCATGACTGAGGGTGTTCGCGTGCTAGCCTTGTTCAGATTATTAATCACGATAAGTAACGCGCTCTCCCCCAGAAACTGTAACTAAGGTCTGCTCAGTATAGTTGCCGTATAAACCATAGATGAACACATTTTGAACCAACACAAATGTGCCAGAGTAGTCGTCTGCAATGAGGATTGTCTCCCAGCCCTAGCAGACTGGCATCCTCAGATTCGACTGACTGCGCCATTTACACTTTTTATTACTTTAAAAACAGAAAGAGACATGTGAAAATTCTGGTTTCTTGACAATCTTCGAAAATGTGAATGCAACGTTAATCGTCATCCTGAGTCGTGTTCCTTTATTGTCCATTCCTTGCTTCTCCCCACTAAAGTCTTTTCATTTTCTTTCATTCCGTGTAACCCACTGCGTCCGAGTGACATTATAGCCCTGCATGGGCTGACATGATTTTAAATAAAGCACATATTGAGAAAAGTATACTTGAAGAATGTGACATCCCTATAAAATATTATATGTAAAGCGGAGAGTGGAATACATCAACTAACCTTCCTTGTGTAAATGAACAACTGAACAAGAATTAGGCGGGGTAGTAAGGAAGCAAACTTTGCTTTCAGCTACATGGGATGGGAAGGTGTGGAGAGTCATGATTCGCCGACTGCCTGAAGAGAAATTGTATACAAAACCATGATTAAATATAATGAATATGCATCGAATTGCCTGTTAGTAAACGTGTGGCACGCAGTTTATTTGTTTCGATATTGTGTGTAATACTATGATACGCTTTTAATAAAGTCAAAAAGTATATTTAAAATTGAGAAATTCTCATAGCCGATGATAACGACCAGTAATATTGATGACAGTTAAAAGACGAAAAGAAATCGAACTTAAAAAAATAACGGATGTTTCTCGGCAGAAAAGTTGCGAATGCAACCAATTACCGATTTGGATTCTTTTTAATAATGTTTTTCGAGTTTGGTTTTATTTTTATTCTACTTTGTTTATATTTCACTTCCTGTTGCTTTTACCGTATCATTTTATTTTTATTCTAATTTGTCCATTAGTACATCTTTTATTTATTATTTGCTTATTAACATTCTTTCTTCCTTCTGATTTCATTCTCTTTCAAGACATCGAATTTAAATATAGTTTTTTTTTCCCCTGCTAATTTGTTATCACGCGTTCGTTTTCTTTGTTCGTTTTTATTCTCGACTTCTTACTCATAGTTCTTAGGGACAAACTTCATTTGATATTTTCTTTCTGCCTTATTACGTTTTTATTTTTGTCATTCTTTCAATTCTTTTTCATTTCTTTTCTTTCGTTTTTCTTATATTTTCGTCCTCATTTTTCGTCTTGCTTTCTCTTTCTTTCCAATATTTTCATTCTTTCTTCCTCGTTTTTTTTTTCTTATTTATATAGTTTCCTGTATTTTCCTTATTTCATATAAATTTCATTAAGTTGCTTTAAATGTCTTTCTTTCCTTCATTTTCAACATTTTTCCGGTTCATTTCCTTTTTTTCTTGCTTTTCTTTCTTTTTCTTTTATTCTGGTTTTATTTTCATATTTTTTTCTCTTTTATACTTCCAATGTCACATTATTCTATTTATTGGTTTTTCTCTTTCATTTTTATTTCATTTCTCTGCATTTTAATTGTTTTTCATTTAAATTGTCTTTTTTTTTCATATTACGTTCTTTTTTTCAACTATTTTCTTTCTTGGATTCTTTCTTTCTTTTCCTTCCTTTTATACATTTTTACAGAAAGGAAGACATTTAAAAAAAATAAAACTTATAAAAATAAATGAAGGAAAAGAAAGATGGAAAGAAAGAATAAGTGAATATTTTACAAATAAAGAAATTTGTAAAACATTCATTTATTCTTTTTTTCGATCTTTCTTTTCCTTTATTTCTATAAGTTTTTTATTTCTTTAATTTGTCTTCCTTTCTCTCTTCCATTCTTATGTTTTCTTCCCTTTTCTCATTGCTGCTTTTCTTTTTCTTTTTATTCTGACAATTTCCTTTTTTTCTTTCTTTTTCCTTTCTCTTACATTTTTCTCTCTATTTTTCTGTTTTAGATTTCTTACATTTTCCTTTATTTCTTTTTTTAAATAAAAACATTTTTTTTTCATATTTTAAAAAAAAAATTTTCTGCTCGTACGCCTTTTCCCCTTTATTACCACCTTTCTTTCATAAGTTATTGTGGCTAACTGATTGACTGATTAACTTATTTTACGACTTATCAACCTTATGCAGGTTATTTAAAGTCATAAAATACCTGTAGATTGTAACATTTTTTTGGAGATAAAAATGATTTAGCAATAGAAGTCTTACTAATTAACCCATAACTGAGGTTAAAAGTGGAATCATACATTTCTAAAGGTTATTTGCGCAAAAATGAATATAAGGAACACAACTGGAATTGGATCTCAGCTCCGCGATTTAAAATTCCAAATCGGTATCCATTACACCACCCGCACATTCACTGCCCATCTAGTTACTGTCAACGTTCGATATTGCTTAACTTCATTGATCGTACGGGATTTCACAATTTTTTTTAATTTCCTTTTCAGGCTTTTATATTTTGATCTTTTTCTTTCTTTCTTTCTTTCTTTCTTTCTTTCTTTCTTTCTTTTCCTCTCACTTGCCTTTTCTTTCTTTTTCTCTCACTTTTTTACTTTATCTGTGTTTCCCCTTTCTTTCCTTTTCTTTTTATTGTGTCTTTATATATATATATATATATATATATATATATATATATATATACTTTTTATTTCGTCTTTATATATATATATATATATATATATATATATTTCTTTATATATATATATATATATATATATATATATATATATATATATATATATATATATATATATATATATATATATATATATTTTATATTTTAATGCCTTCATTATTTTCGCAATCCAGGGTATGACGATAAATTATATCTGGCAGCAAAGCGTTTGATCGGGTGACTGGGGTGAAGTATTGAGGATCGTGTAACCACCTCAGTTACTGTTGATACGAGTTTCACCCTAACCCCGGGTGTTAAAACTTGTTATCGTCCCAGTTATATACAAATACTGGCCCCCACCAAACAATAGCGAAACCCCATGGTAGTGTAAAAATACATTTTTACAGTAAAAATACTAGCAATACATTTTTATATAAAGAAATTACCAACAATACATATTTATAGTCAAATTATCAACAATACGCACATTACTAACAAATTGTAGCAACTTCTCTGAAATCCGTTAAAAATACTACCAAATAACCAACATGAAATAACGTTCATCACTTGAAGCGATATAATATAATACAATTTCTTGAAGAAATCAAACTGTATTCCTAAATATAACTTCAGTAAAACAACACAAAACATATACCACCTCCCGTAGTAATCTACACAAACATGCATATGCACAAAAGCTGTGTACCATGTATTCTAATGAGAAAGTAGAATAACTGTATTCAATATTTACATTATTCGGACTATTGTCCTCATCTTTATCACCATATTTATTACAACGTTTCGTTCGTTGTACGCTCCGGCCTTCTTCAGGCGGTTGGAATGTCGAACTGAACCCTTTATTTCGCTCACTGGGGTAGACTGTTCTAGTTCCACGTACCATGTCTAATAGATGTCAGTTAAACTAACGCCTTTGTCCATTGTGCCACAAGAACACATGGCACAGTGGATAAATGCGTTAGGTAGATCCAGTGATGGGACCCAGAGAGTGTGAGTTCAATATCTGGTTTAGGCGGTGGAGAACTTGGAGAGATAATTAAGCAGAGGATAACTGATAACTGACATCCATTAAAAACATGGCACGTGGAACTAGAACAGTCTACGCCAGTGAGCGAAATAAAGGGTTCAGTTCGACATTCCAACCACCTGAATAATGCCGGAGCATACACCGGCCGAAACGTTGTAACAAATATGGCGACAAATATGAAGACAATAGTCTGAATACTGTAAATAGTGTACATAATACCTCATCTCAGAAATATAGACAGAAACTCTATTCATATTTTTATTACGTCCATGTTCCCAAGAAAATTAAATATGGAGTTGATATGCTGTTAAACAGACGAATCAAACATTATTTTCGTCATTTCCTCTTAATTTGACTCTGTTTAATTATTCTTTCTTTTTGGTCGTTTTAACTTCTTTCCGTCTCTTTTTTCATTTATTCTTTCTTTCATTTCTTTTAGTTTATTTCATCTCGCTACTGCCACCACATTTTCATTTTGGTCACGGAAGCAGCCAGGCCTTCGGGCTGGTTTGCGACCATGGCAAAGTCTAGTTTGGACCATATCAGGACCTGCTAAGACTAACTTGGACCAGAACTTGACTAAGCTTTGACCAGCTTGGACATGTTATGACCAATCTTTGACCAGTGACCCTATGCGGAAACGCTCGGGTTTCCCACGAAAAACGACCTTGTGTCACATCTTGACCTAGTGGGAGTCAAGTAAATACCGCCACCACATTTTCATTCGTTTCTTATTTCTCATGTAGTTATGGACAATTTTTTAAGCTTACACGTTTTTTGACAGCATTATTTTCTTTCCGCAATTGCCTATTTGCGTTCAATGTTTGAAGAATTATTATATTAATTCATTATAAAACTATTGACAAAACGCAATGCTTTTCCAACGTTACCCTCCTGTGTTTACACCGCTGTTTAGAGATATTTCTTTATCATTGCTTAAATTCAGCTCAATACAGAGAATAACAGCTAAATCGTTTTCTATTATTATTATCATCATTATATTTTGATTTCTGCTATGGTCACGCAACCTCCCAAGTCTGCGGGAAGACCTAAGGCATGTAGTGATGTGAGATTATGGCCACATTTCATGATTTGTTTTTATAACTCCCATAATATCACTTGCGTTACTTGGACAAAGTTCTTCTTAGTGTCAGAGCTGTATTTAACATGACAATTTTTTATATTTCTCTTCAACTGGGATTTCCAGGAAATATGTTTTTTGTGTTCCTTTTTTATCCTTCCAAGAGAAATTAGTATGACTGGTACTATTATTGTTTTCAGTTTTATTATTAGTATCTTTATTTTATTTCCTTTGATTTCTGATGTGTACTCATTTCTTTCCGGGTCCCGCCCAGAGACCTAAGGTTAGAAATGGCATCATGACATTTTCCACTGAAAAAAAAATATTTCATCGACAAAACCCTTTGTAAGGTGTGGGCTGTACTCGTGAGAACAATTTTTTGGTATTTCTTTAAGGCATGGGCTTCCAGGAATCCCTTCAATGAATCTACTGGAATCTTTTCCAACCAATCCGAGGACCCCAACTACAACGGGGATTGTTGATGTTCCCATGTGCCACATATTATTATTATTATTATTATTATTGTGTATTTTATGTTTCCTGCTTTGTATCCTGTAGAGCCGGGTCCAAACTATGGTCCTTAGGCCCTATTGGATAATTGTCATTTAAGTGATAGCACTTAAATTTAGCATATGGGATGTTCTTAGAAGTTCAATCTTCTGGGGAACATGTATGTCGATGTTACTTGGGACACTATTAATAAAATCGTCCATTCCTTTTCTCACAAGGTCCAGAGCTCTGAATACACTTGGTACAGTTTCAGTTTTCATTCTCCACATCCTGTTAATTCCGATCTCCAGGTCCTTGTATTTGGAAAATTTCTCGGTAATTTTTGTGGTGGAGTTTCTCTCAGATGGTACTGCTATGTCAATAAGCATACACTTCCTGAATTTCTTGTCTTTTAATAAGGCCTGCTGGCTTTTATTTCTGTTGTGGATTCCGAGATGAATTCGGTCTCCAAGGAATGACAAACGCAATAATTAAATATAAGGAATAAAATGTATTTACACAATCACACAAAGAGTAATACTGTTAGTAAGTTCAGGAACGCGGTTAGTGGCAAATACAGATAGATATATACAGTCTTGAAGTAGGACTTCTTTAGAGTCTACGTGCTTGTAACTGACTTCTACAAGAGGTTACCTCACACTATCTCCGTTCGTATATTCTCTTACTATCCATATATCCTCTCTCACTGTCTAACTCTGAGTATTTAACGGCAGCACTCCAAGTAACACTTGGTAGAGTCCACTTATATAGAAAAGGGGAGGACCCCATAACAATTTCCATGTCAGATTTAATTGGCATATCCCAGAGGATAGTTACATCGTTATTTTGGGTAAATTTGTCTGTTTGGTGCTCATACCATCTCTCAGTGGTTTCGATTTTGTGCTTCTTGCACATCTTCTAATGCACATATGTCACTACCTGGTTATGTCTGCAAGAATATTCATTTTTTGCCAGTTCCGGACATGCTGAGATAATACGGCCGACAGTTTCATCATATTTTCCGCAGGTCCTGCATTTCGGGTTAGTTCCATAGTTAGTTTCGACCTGATCTGCAATATTATTATTATTAGTTTTGTTGTTGTCTTTGTTGGTCCGCGCGTTTATTCGTCGTAATGAAAAAGAGGACGCAGGTGTAGGCTTTAAGAAAGCTTTATTCAACTGCGAATATAAGGTTCGCGTATAGTGTTCTTTCAAAATCCTAGTAAACAGAAATAGCTCTCCCAAAGAGGAGAGTAGCAAAACAAGGGGAGACCACTCTTGATTATTCATAACATCTTCAATCTGTGGGTATTGAGCAAACACAAAATGTGCCTGAGAAAGCGTCTGCAATAGGGACTGGCCAGCCACCTTATTAGACGGGTATACTCGAATACGAGTGGCCAGCTATACATACACATATATATATACATATTATTATTATTATTATTGTTGTTAATCTTTGCTTTTGTTCAGTACAATACCTGGCCGGGTTATTACATAAGCTAAAACAAATTCCTTAAACATGTGCATTCTGTTTGCAGAAATTCTATAAAGTTTTATTTAACATATACGCAGATGTAGGCTTTAAGAAAGCTTTAGTCAACTGAGAATATAAGGTTGGCGAATAGTGTTCTTGCAAAGTCCCAGTATACAGAAATAGCTCTCCCAAAGAGAAGAGTAGCAAAACAAGGGGAGACCACTCTTGATTATTCATAACATCTTCAACCGAAGATCTTACATCGTCGGCGTTCTCAAGTTGTACGACCTCAAACAGAAAGCACTTTTTTCACAGGTTATTTGCAGTGTCAATAAACACAGACTTCTGAAGCGATGCGATACTAAGCTTTATTCGGATTTTCTTCATGTAGGAATTTAAGTTCGAAGGTATAGAGCCGAATGCGCCAATGATAACTGGAAAGACAGTGGCTTGAACCTTCCACTCTCTGGCGACTTCAATCCGGAGATTTGCTCTATCTCCTTAAACTTGTCAATTACTTGAACCTTGATATTATGGTCACATGAAACAGCCATGTCGATGACAAGGAATTTTCTCGTTCATTATTATTATTATTATTATTATTGCTATTCTTGTTGTTGTTGCTGTTGTTGTCGTTGTAAATACGTGGCCGAGTGTTTAGAACGTTTGCATTCTGACCATGAGACCCGGGTTCGAATAACAGCATGGTCAATTTGCAAGAAAGGTGACTTTCTGATGCTATTAGACTAGCGGGGTCAATCCCAGCGTACGGCACCTTCGGAACGTGCCTGAAAAACCATACCAAGCCCTGTGAGTGAAACTGGATAGACGGAACACTTGGGGCTGTCGACAGCAGTGCTAGCACGCAGTCGCAAGTCATCGTGGCCGAGGGCGTGAGCGTGTTGGTTTGGTTCAAATTGTTGAACACGCTAGATAACAAGCTCTTTCCCAGACACTGTAACTAAGGTCTGCCCAGCATAGTTGCAGTATAAACCACAGGTGGGTTCTGTGGGTGTTGAACAAACACAAATGTGCCTGAGCAAGCGTCTGCAATATGGACTGGCCAGTCCCTATAGAGGGGTATCCTCGAATAGGAATGGCCAGCTCTACATACATATATATACATATTATTATCATTATGGTTAATCTTTGCTTTGTTCAGTGCAATCCCTGGCCGGGTTATTACATAGGCTAAAACAAATTACTAAAGATGTGCATTCTGTTTGCAGAAATTCTATGAAGTTTTATTTAACATATACGCAGGTGTTTTTTTTCCATTGATAATATTCTCCTGTGTAGAAGTATCGTTCTACACAGCGCAATATTTTGAATCTCTGACAAACAGGTGCTACCATGGACTTTGTAAATGTTCTTCTAGATAACCTTTTTAATTTAGTGAGTGATCCAATTGTTAGCGGTATAATCGTAGTTTTAACTCACCACGTTTCTTTAATTGCAATTTCAGAATCCTTATATTCTCTTGTGTCATATACTTTAACAAATATATACTTCATCTGATGACACCGCCATATCTATGATTAAGCATTTCTCTCCCTAGCTTCAGAATTTATGCAAACAGAATGCAAATATTTACTACATTGTCTTTCCTTTTGAATGAACTGGTGATTGTACTGAAGAGAAAACAATGGAAAATGTCTACTACTACTATGTTGGGGAACTGGTTACGAGCGTTCGATTGTAGGGTAGTATTACAAATATCATTGACAATCCTCATTAAGGTCAAATTATGCTTAATTCGTTCAATATCCTGTTTGGCCAGTTAAATGAATGTTTCTATGCTTTTTTTTTTCTGTTAATTGGTTCGTGTTCTGGTATAAGAAGCAGACACTCTCTACCTTAGAAATTAGTGCAATATGTTCTTTCTCTTTGCACTCCCGCATCTTTTTTACTTCTTTTATATATTGATATTTTGGTAGTCTGTCTGTATTTACTTTAACTTTTCTCTTTCTGTTTCTTTGTTTCTTTATCTTCAGATAAGTTTTATTAATTAGTTTGTCTTTCATCGCCTTCTTTGAGAGTCTTATGTGATTTCTTTCTTTGTCTTTTCTAATTTTCTTCTATAGTTTACATTGTTTTCTTTTTTGTCTTTGATTCATTGTTGTCTTCATATATATATATATATATATATATATATATATATATATATATTGTTTTATATTAAGAAAAAAAAAAAAGAGAACAAAAAAGAAAGAAGGAAAGAAAGCAATTCTTTCATAACTTTGTTCTCTTTTTCTTTCATAGTATAAAACAATATGTCTTCTCGTTCTCTTTCCTTTTATTGCAATAGTGCATTCTTTGTTTCTTTCCTTTTTCTTTCTTTTTTTCTTTCTGTATTTATTTATTTTCATAAGCCATTATTTATTTTCTACCATTTCACTTTGTTTTCGATATGATTATTTTGTTTGATGAAAATAAGTTCTACTCGTTTGTTTGGCTTCCATCAATTGCTTTCGTTTCCAAGGTTCTTCTTATTTCTTTCCTAGATTACCTTATTTATTCATTTATTTTTCAGAATTATTATATATCTTTTCACCACCTTATCTCCGTTTTTTTTCTTTTCTTTTCGTTGTTTCTTATATATATACTTATTTTTCTCTTTCTTCTCTCTTTAGCTTTGTTGTATTTCTTCGTTTGACTTTTTCTTTCGTTTTTCTTTCAATCTATCAGTATATCTTCTCTTTACTACAATACTTCAGTATTTATTTCCATCTTTTCTTTCTTTCTTTCTTTCGTTCGTTCTTTGATTATTTTTATAAGCCATTGTTTCTTCTTTTCCCTTTTCTTGTTATTTTCTGTTTTCAATTTGTTTGCTTTTTTAATTAAGATATCTTCCTACACAAACCATTTTCCTTTTACCGTGTATCAAACTTTTTTTTTCCGATTGTTTCTAATTTCTTTCTTCTTTTCATTATTTCTTTCTTTCTTTTTTTTCTTCCTCTTGTGCTAATGTTTCCTCAGTAGCTTCCGGTTTCTGTTCTTTATTTTATGAACATTCTCTATATAACGATATGTATTTATTTTTTTCAAATTGCCAACCGATCTTTTTGTAATTCTTTCTCCCTATTTTTCTCGGATCTTGGCTCCAATTAACTTTGCTTTTAGTCATCATTTTCCTCATTATTTTCCCTTCGTATTTTTTTTCATTTCTTTTTACATTCCGACATCTTATCGTCACAAGATTAGTTTTCATTGTTGCTGCGTTACTTCACTTTTTGCTCATTTGTGGTCTCGTGTGATCTAAACGAGATCTCTAAACAGTTTATCGTATGAATTTCCTGTTTTGATATAGTTCATTCATCATTATGTCATACCTGTAACAAAGTATTGTCACACTAGCAGAAGTAAACTCTGAGTCACTGCCGAGATGAAAACCAAAAGCCAATGGTTCTTTACACCAGAATTTATCGAGGTTGAGTTGTGAGAATGTTAATGTGCTGCGAGACGATATGGAAGTTGTCCCGCAAGTTTTTTGGGTTTCGATGAAAGGTGTGAACAGCCAAGACAATGAGGGAACAAAGGCAGAGGTTTATATTTTAAGTAAACGTCGGTTTTTATTTTAACAAAAATAAACATGCGTTATGTACAAGTATATACAGTCTAGGGAAATGCCTGAATCGGTGTCTCCTTCGGGATGACCGGTTTGGTCAGGAGAGCTGATCGCTTACCGGGCAGAAGTGTTATCGGCGGCAGTAGCTGGTCGATTGTTGGGTGTAGTGTTATCGGCGACGGTAGCTGGTCAATTACCGAGTTGAAGTGTTATTGGCGGCGGTAGCTGGTCAATTACCGAGTTGAAGTGTTATCGGCGGCGGTAGCTGGTCGATTACCGAGTTGAAGTGTTATCGGCCGTGGTAGCTGGTCGATTGTCGGGTGTAGTGTTATCGGCGGCGGTAGCTAGTCGATTGTCGGGTGTAGTGTTATCGGCGGCGGTAGCTAATCGATTGTCGGGTGTAGTATTATCGGCGACGCTAGCTGGTCAATTACCGAGTTGAAGTGTTATCGGCGGCAGCAGCTGGTCGATTGTCAGGTGTAGTGTTACCGGTGACGGTAGCTGGTCAATTACCGAGTTGAAGTGTTATCGGCAGTGGTAGCTGGTCGATTGCCGGGTCGAGGTGTTATCGAGACAATTAGGGCTAATTGTCTCAACGAAGGTGGCGTCCCTAAACCTCCGCCTTTGTCCCCTCATTGCCGTGGCTGTTCACAACTTTCTTCGAAACCAAAAAAATCTAGCGGGTGCGACATCCTTATCGGCCTCACAACAAATGTTCTGATTAAAGTCCTTGGTTGGAATCAGGTCATATCATGAGATGAGCCAGGCTAGAGGAATGAAATAGAATTGATCAGAAACTGTCGATGGCTCTGTTAACACGAAGTGCTAAGCTACCGTGAATTAGGGTTTGAGCGTAGTTGCTTTTTGGGGCTGTTGTCACGCCAAGTTTTACACTCTCTTCCAGAAATTGTAACAAAGGGCTGCTCAAGAAACATGGCTCTGGGAGTGTAAAGGAAACCTAAACAAAAATCTAACAGAGCGTGATCTCATCAACAGAGATTAGTTAGTCATGCTTGCATATAGACATACCTGTAAATGATTGAGATTTATGACATATTTGCCAGACACGGTGGAGTAATGAATTGCACCTGGGATTAAGGAATCGGAGAGACGAGTTCGAATTCCAGTCAAGTTCATTACATTCACTTACGTGCTAATACCAGTGGGTAAAATAAGCAGCTAATGGTAAAATAGCATGACAGACTGGGTTCAAAACCTCCAACTATGAATAAAACAGTAGGGCAATCTGGAGCTCTGTGCCTATGGTTGTCAACTAGACGAGGAGAAAGAAAACTCGGGATACTAATACAGAGCCAATGTTCCTAAGACTGCCCGATGTGATATTCAATTTAATTCTGGCAACTTCTGCAACGATGCCGGTGCCAAGATAGTTTGGCCTTTATCTTTCTTTTGGGCAGCATCAGTGGCGTGGAGAGGGGAGAAGCGCTGCATGGGCAACTGCAGACCTCTCATAAAAAAGGTCGGGCCTGGGGCCTGCAAAGTGAAGATCTATCGTCTATCGAGACCGACAGTTGCCATATATATATATATATATATATATATATATATATATATATATCCGTTGTATGGATATGTTTGTGACTTTGGGTTTCATGCTTTTACCATAACATAAAGCCGTCTCTGAATATCGAAAAACCGTGAAAGCGAGGGTCACAATCACATATCCATACAACTGAATATGTTAGCTCTATCACTGACAGTGAGCCCTTTCCAATAAGTACTGCACATGTAATATATATATATATATATATATATATATATATATATATATATATATATATATACCTCCACTAATCTCTATCTATAAAAGACAGGATGTGTGTTTGTGTAACGAATACACGGCCGCAATTTTCGACGGATTTGCACCAAAATTTACATGCACATACTCCAAGTTAGCGGGAAGGCCAAGACCGACTTTGCATATCCCAACTCCCACCAATAGTGGAAATAATCAATTTTTTCATGCTTCTACGGCAGTTTTCATGTAGTTTGCGGCCATTTTCTACTGGCCAGAGTGCGAGCCTATAGTTGGCTGCCACGAATAGGCAGGAAGATTCTATTGGCCAGCGTGAGAGCCAACAGCTGACTGACATGAATGTTACTACCATGCTAGCATGCAAAAGAAATCGATAGCTGCATTCGTCACAAGTGTGACAAATTTAAATCTGCATGGCACTTTACTCCAATTGGTTCATTCGCTTGCTTAAACTGAACGTTGATTTTGATTCCGTAGAACTGGGTTGGGTGTGAAAAAGTATTTGTTGTTAACATTCTTTTTTCATTCGGTTTTTCGAGTTACGAGTCCTTTTTTTAAAGCTGATCGTCTTGTGTTCATTTTGTTTAGTTCTTTTTTCATAACAGGTTTAATGTTTAGTATAGAGCTTAGAAAAAATTCGCAGTGTGAGAAGTAAGGCATGTAGCAACATCAGCACGGCAAAGGGCACTCCTTTAAAGGCAAGGAAGGGCAAAAATATTTTAAGTCAAGTGATAGCGATTGCTGTATGAGTCGTACGATTTTTGAATCAAGCACGGGCAACGCCGGGCCATGCTGCTAGTTCGTTATTCTTAAGATTTTAAATTAATTTTTAAATGTGAAAAATCTTTCTTGAAGTTTTCATTTTAGCTTTAATTGAAAGATAAAGGATAACAAATTTACTAATTTCAGTCAGCAAAATATCTCTGTGGTGTATTTATAACGGAAATTATATTGATCGGTATCAATTTTTTTCAGTAAAATCGATAAAAAACATTAATTTTTTACACATTTATAAACAAAAGTTAATTCTGAGTTTTAAAAATCTTGCAAAATATAATATATATTTCGCTAACGTTATTTGAGGAAAATTAGCATATTTAACGTTTAATTAATCTTATTTAAAACAAATACTACTTAATTATTGCATAAAATGTGGTAGACAAGTATTTCTTATCCACGGCGTCTTGTCTTTCTGATGTGTTAATCGATTTTTTGACAGACGTTGTTCTAAAAAGGAGTAAGAAATTTAATTAAATATTCAAAAAATAATTTGATCTTTTCTCTTAATAATAACATAAAGAGTTTGACGATAAAGCTTTCATTACCTTTGGGGTATGTTCTCATCGTGGTATGCTGGATTTTTACCGTTTTAGTGAATATATATATATATATATATATATATATATATATATATATATATATGCTTCTACTTTGTGGAACCAACAAGTGAGGTATGTTCTTTTTTTATATATACATTTGAGGATGCGGGCTCAAAAGTGCAAATGTATACATAGTAAATAAACACATCTCACTATGTCATAACACATTTCGAATACGTCACAACACTCACAAACTCTAAAAAAAATCACCAATTGTCTCTACCACTCCTAAAATTAAAATCTTAGACTATATTTCTTTTATTTGTATTTCGAACAATTTCTGAAGGAATTCCTCCTTATCTGTGAAGGTTTAATCGTAAAGTGGATCAGCAAAATTAATCGACATAAAATTTATGCTGTCTTTAATGATATTTACCTTAAATATACATATGCACAAATACACACACATATACATACATATCAGTTTCATTTTTCCGTTTGTTTTTTTTTTTTCATTTATTTACCCTATTGTAAAAATGGCGCAATTTAACATGCCCTAGAGAATTTAAAGGACATTTGACAATTATCGACGATGAGAAGACCGAGATATGTTTACGAAGATGACATGCTAAAACAGAAAATCCCTTTCTTCTTATTGCAGCTTATAATGAATGAATCGTAGGTGTGCTGGTGGCGCAAAGATTATCGGCGCTAAAAATGGAATCGTCAAAACCCAACCGACTGTTTTGGTTTAACTTCGTGCTAATACTCTATGTAAAAACATAGTTGTTTTTCTTCTTCTTTTGCAAATTGATTCTGAATAAAATAGAAAGAAATAGTTCCAAATCTTCCGGAAGGCGACTAATCTAATGGAAGAACAATTCTGTATTTAATCCACAGATTCAAAAGCTAGAAAATGTTTCAAGATCTTCATATTGATATGACTGGGATCTTTATCGTAGGGAAGAGAGAAGTACACGTGACGTTCTGTAATGAATTAATACGCTGTCAATATTTAGATGCCGTTCAACTGACTACTGGAGAAAATTTTGGGGTGAAACAAAAGAGTAGAACAAATGAAACCAGGCAATTTATACGAAAGCGCTATTAGACAAATTATATATATATATATATATATATATATATATATATATATATATATATATATATATATATATTGGAAACAAATAACATTAATCCACATCAAAATTACAGAAAAGTAGAATAAAAGGGGCGCGGAAGAGTAGGATCGATAATGCAATGAGAACGGTGCAAACGGTACGAAATCGATGATTTAAGCAAATAGCACAGAAGCAAATCATTTCTCAGAAATAGAAATAATGCAATATTCTTTGGGCTTGTCATGAAGGCGGAGAAAGAAAGAAAGAAAAGAAAAGAAAAGAAAGAAAAGAAAAGAAAGAAAGAAAGGCAAAATGATAACAAAGAAGAAGAAAATGAAAAAAAAATAGGAGAAAAAAAAGAAGAAGAAGAAGAGGAGAAGAAGAAGAAGAAAGAAGAAGAAGTGAAGAAGAAGAAGAAGAAGAAGAAGAAGAAGAAGAAGAAGAAGAAGAAGAAGAAGAAACAGAAACAGGAAGAGAAAGCAAAGACGTAGTTTGAGAGAATGTGAAGAAAAAGAAAAACGTGACGGAGAAAAAAATGGGAAGAAGAAGACAAAAAGCAAAGAATTCGAAGAGAAAGCGAAGAAAAAGGAGATGGAGAAGAAAAAGAAGGAACGAGAATAGAAAGCAAAGTAAAAGAAGATAAAGTGAAGAAAATGAAGAAGCAGGTGGAGAGATAGATGATAGCATAGAAGAAGAAGAAGAAGAAGAAGAAGAAGAAGAAGAAGAAGAAGAAGAAGAAAAGAAGAAAACAAAAGATGAAACGCCAGCATAGGATAAGAAAAGAAAGCGTTAGTTTGGCAATATCAAAAGGTCACGTGAGTACAATGGCTAAAAAGTGAAGACATTAACAGAGATAAGAAAGCTGAAAGATCAAAAGAAAACCTGACCATAATAGAACAAAGAACTGAAAATGAAAGACTTTTTAAGAACGAAATGACACTGACATCTCATATCTCATTTCTTTCATCAATGCTAGTATTATATAGACAGTGAGTAAACCAAATAAATACAATTCATGTTTCGCCAAACGATGTCGCTTGTTTTGTTTATTTCTTGTGTGTGCAGCATCAGAGAAAGGAAGTTAATTCAATACTTAAGAACAATTCGTAAAAACAACAGCTATTTCAACAAAGAAGCTAATTGTATATTCAGCCAAACAGAATCAGATGAAAAACCGTAAACTCTCATGGAGTTTGAAAATTAATCATATCCCACAATCCAGAAAAGAAAAGATCAACTTTCGTCAACATAAAAGCGTGTCAATTCGTGGATTGTCCCAGCAGACCAAAAATGGTAATGTTTATGGTAATATTACCATAAGAATGGTAATAGTAAAATTATCCGTTCCTTACTGTTAGTTGAAATTTATGAATTCTTCCTATTATAATAATTTTACATGAAAATAGCTTTCTAGTATCCATCAACAGTCAACGCTCTTCCCAGTATGTATTTAATTCTAAAATGTTGCATAAATTACTGTGGAACATTTAAATCTTGTTCATGAAGTTATTTTCTCTATGTGTTATATGGGGCATCTATATTAGAGTTTGCTGTGACTGATAAAATTCCTCAGCTGATGTTGTTTCGGTCTTTGGTACCATTTCTTTGGATTCTCTTGGATTTTGAAGAAGTATGATCCTCTGTAAGGCCGACCGTTTTCATTTGACGGAAGCCATTTACATCCATTGATCTGGGAAAGTATTTACATACAGTTGACAGTTTATATATTCCTTTCAATGTTCAAAATGTCTTCCGCTTGCTTTTACAGACACATACACTCGTCGGATGATTAACTTGCGGACAATTTGAACGCCATCATCGGGCTA